TTTACATAGAGGGTGGTTCGTGTGTGGAGTGAACTTCCTGAGAAAGTGGTGGATGTGGGTACAGTTACAACGTTTAAAAGATATTTGGATACATACATGAATAGGAAAGGTTTGGAGGAATATGGGCCAGGAGCAGGCAGGTGGGACTAGTTTATTTTGGGATGATGTTCGCATGGACTGGTTGGACCGAAGGGCCTGTTTCTGTGCCGCATGACTCTATGATCTAATCATTAGAAAGTTTAAAGGTTTTCTGTCTTAAACTGAAGGAATATGTGTGTTTGTCTGCTTCAAGCCTTGTAATTCAGTGGTAATGGAATAAATTGTCACAGTAACTCTGGAAAAGCTGAGGTTTTGTTTAAAACAGACACAGTGAATGAGATGTAATAATGTGGACTATTTATCAGCTGAATTTGTGATTGTTATGGTATTCTACTGAGTCAATATCGTACAGTTGATTGGATGACATAAGGGTGGTGAATAAAATCGTAGAATGCCTACAGTGCAGATAGAGGCCATTCAGCCTGTTGAGTCTGAATTGCATTGAAGCTAATGCTGTTTGTTTCTTTATTTGTTGACAATTTACTTTCATAATCAATTTTTCTCCTTTTTATTAGATTTTTAGGCATCTGCTGCTGGTTCATAAAACCTTCCCAATCCTCTGGCCTACCACTAGTTTTTTTGTTACTTTTTAAGCCTTTGTTTTTGACTAGATACTCCCCTTAACCACTTTTGTTTAGAATGGGTGATTCGTCCTTCTCATCAAGTCTATTTTGATTGGAATAAATTTTTGCTGCGTATTATGAAATATCTGCATAAATGTCTGTCAATGCTCATCCACTGACTTTCCCATTTCGTCGATTTTCCCAGCTACTTTAGATAACTTTTTCTTCATATATCTATCAGTATTCTTGTTTAACTTGTGACACTGGTTTAAGACCCAAGTAACTCTCCCTCAAACTAAATTTGAAATTCTTCCATTTTGAGATTGTTATCCCCTCTAGGATCCATAACTATGAGATCAGTTATTAATCGCACCTCATTATACATTATTAGATGTAAAAAGGCCTGTTCCCAAATAGCTTCAGTGATGTATAGTTCTGAGAAACAATCCCTGATGCACTGTTCAAATTCATCACAGAATTTTGGGCCCCATATCTTAGGAAGGATGTACTGGTGCTGGAGCACCAGTTCAGAGGAGGTTCACAAGAATGGTCCCAGGAATGAAAAGCTTAACATATGAGGAAAGTTTGAGGACTCTGGGACTATACTCATTGGAGTTTAGAAGGATGAGGGAGAATCTAATTGAAACTTACAGAATACTGAATGGCCTGGACAGAGTGCATGTTGGGAAGATGTTTTCATTTGTAGGAGAGACTAGGACCTGAGGGCACAGCCTTAGAGTAAGGGGAAGACCCTTTAGAACGGAGATAAGGAGAAACTTCTTCAGCCAGAGAGTGGTGAATCTATGGAATTCATTGCCACAGAAGGCTGTGGAGGCCAGGTCATTGTGTACATTTAAGACTGAGATAGATAGGTTCTTGATTATCAAGGGCATCAAGAGAGAATGGGGCTGAGGAACTTATCAGCCATGATTCAATGGGCCGAATGGCCTAATTTCTGCCCCTATGTCTTATGTCTTAATTTTTACAGCACAGAAGGAGACCATTCAGCCCATTGTGCCTGCACTCTTCAAATGAGCATCATTACCTAGTGTCAATCTCCTGCTTTATCCCCAGATCCTTGCAGACTATTTCTATCCAAGTAATCATCCATGCCCTCCTGAATACCTCAATTTAACCTGCCTTCACCACATTTCCAGGCAGTGCATTCTATGCCCTTGCTACTCACTGTGTGAAAAAAGATTTTTCTCACATTGCACTTGCTTCTTTTGTACATCACTTTTAATTTATGCCGTCCTGTTCTTTCTCTTTTTATGAGCAGGAACAGCTCTTCTCCCTATCTACTCTATCCAGCCCACTCGTGATTTTGAAACCCTCTGTCGAATCTCGTCTCACCCTTCTTCTCTCCAAGGAAACTGGACCCAACCTCTTCAGAGATAGTAGGAACTGCAGATGCTGGAAAATCTGAGATAACAAGGTGTAGAGCTGGATGAACACAGCAGGCCAAGCAGCATCATAGGAGCAGGAAGGCTGACGTTTCGGGCGTAGACCCTTCATCGGAAATGAGATCAACTTCTTCAACTTCTTCAGTCTGTCCTCATAACTGAAGTTTCTCATTCCTGGAACCATTCTTGTAAATCACTCCCGGACTCTCTCTAATACATTTGCTTCTTTTCTAGAATGTGGTGCCCACAACTGTACATAATAGTCCAGCTGAGGTCTAAGTAGTGTCTTGTACAAGTTCAACATCACCTCCCTGCTCTTGTACACTATGCCCCCATTAATAGAGCTGAGAATACTTATGCCTTATCACCTTCTCTCTCTACCTGTCCTGTCACCTTTAGTGATCTGTACACAAATACACCCAGGCCCCTCTGCTTTTACCCTGTCTTGAGAGTTATACCTCATATTTATGATGTCTTTCAATATTCTTTCCACCAAAGTGCCACACCTCACACTTCTCTGCATTGATCCTCATCTGCCACTTATCCACCAACTTGTCAATGTCCTTTTGGATACCACGTTGTCCTCACACTTTACAATTCCCCCACATTTTATGTGATCTGAAAACTTTGAAATTGTCCTCTACACACCAAGATCCAAATCATTAATATATGTCAGAAAAAGCAAAGCTCCCAGTACCGACCCTTAGGGACCTCCACTACAAACCTCCCTCCAGTCCGATAAATATCCATTGACTACTACTGTATTTACTATCACTCGGTCAAGTTTTTATCCATATTACTACATTACTACATACCATGACATATGTCTGTTGTGTGGCACTGTGTCAAACACCTTCTGGAAATCCATGTACACTGCATCAGTGTTATCTTCATCGAACCTTTATGTTACTTCTTCAAAAAACTCCAGCAAGTTAATTAAACACGCTTTCCCTTTAAAAATCTATGCTGATTCTACGGAATCAACCCACCTTTTTTCATGTGACTACTAATGTTATCCAAATTAATCGTTTCTAGAAGCTTCTCCGCCACTAAATTTGTGGCCTGTATTTGCTGGGATTATCTCCACAACTTTTCTTAAACAAGTCTAATATTTGCACTGAAACAAAAGATGTTGGAAATCACAGCGGATCAGGCAACGTCTATGGAGAGACAGCAAGCTCATATTTCGAGTCTAGATGACTCTTCATCAAAGCTGACGTGAAGTCTGGAGGATCAGCGTTTATGCAATAATTGGGGAGAGAGGGTGTGAAGTGCTGGGGGAGAAAGGATGTTGATAGAGCAGATTAAGTGATCGGAATGTGAGAATGACAGAATAATGGTGTGTCTAACTGCCAGACTGGGAAGAACAGACAGTTCCAGTGGGTGGGGGGAGGGAGAGAGGACGTGGTGACTGAGAATGTAACAAGTAAAGCTAAAGGGAAGGAATGGGAGTGGGATATTTGTAATTTTTGCAATTCTGGCACCTCCCCTGAATCCACGAAAGACGGAAAGATTATGGCCAGAATTCATCTTCCATGTTACGTTTTCCCATCTGATTTTCCTAGTTAATATGAGCCATGATAATTGTAGTGCCCTTATTACACATTTCCGCTATGTTCCAACTTATACTTTGTCCTGCAATGAATTGACTTCTATCCTTTGTTTTTCCTTATTTCCACTCAAACTGACTTCACAACACAATCCAGTGCTAGTAGGAACTGCAGATGCTGGAGAATCTGAGATAACAAGGTGTAGAGTGAAGGGTCATGGTGAAGGGTCTAGGCCCAAAACGTCAGCCTTCCTGCTCCTATGATGCTGCTTGACCTGCTGTGTTCATCCAGCTCTACACCTTGTTATCACACAATCCAGTGCACCCATTCCACAGAGATTTGAAGAAGTCATACCGGACTCGAAACATTAGCTCAGTTTCTCTGTCCACAAAGGCTGCCAGATCAGTTGAGTTTCTCCAGTACTCTCTGTGTATGTTTCAGATTTTCCAGTATCTGCAGTATTTTGCTTTCATTCATTGATTTCTATTTGTGCTCTCCACTCATCTGTGTTTTGACAAATGCTGCGTGCATTCAGATAAAGATAAGTGCTGACTTTTTAACCGTTATTACTTACGCCGATTTTAATGTATGCCCCACACTTCTGCTCATATTTTCTATCCCTCCCTATCACAGTTTGATTATCGCTTGCATCTTCACGACCCTGCACCTCTTATTTGTTTTTTTTGTTATAAAACTTCCCTGCAATTGAACCTACTGATTGGTTTAAATCCCTACCTGCAATCCTAGTTCTACGATTCGTCGGGACACCGTACATATCTATGTACGGAGGAGTTTTTATTAAGATTTAACTTCAATAATGTAAAGGGGGAGGATTGTGTGTAAAATCCTGAGGCTTAAAGTGCAAAACCGATGTAGCTACTAACTTGCACATTCCATAGATCAATAATCAGAATCATTCATTAATTGCTACACAATTTGTTGTCAACTTTTTTTTTCCTTAGGCTGCTCCTCGGATTACCCAATGAGTTTTGCACTGTCCACACAGTGTGGAGCAGGAGGAACGCAGAATACTTGGGGTATTCTTGTAAAGAGGAGCAGGAAAGTTGACATTTTGGGTCGGGACCCGACTTCGGACTCCAGCATCTGCGGTTCTTGCTATGTCTTGGAGTTTTGCACTGTCGTGTGTTTTGCGTGCAGGGTCCCTTTAATTAGGATTGTACCATCCCATGCACAGGAGAGGGGGGCGCGTTTTCATTCAATTCCCATCATTGCTGGCTCTTTGATTGTTTAACTCCACGATATGACCAACGCTGTGCAATACATTATTAAACTCTCTCTGCGTCCCTGCTGGCCAGGACTTTCTGTTTTTTTTTAAAATAACTGTGCTGGGTGCTGTCCCTCCTCCCCCTCCCTCTGCTGTGTGAAGAGCTGGGGCAGGTTGGCGCCATTCAGAGTGAGGAAGGTTTGCAATAATCTGGAGCTGCAACATTGTATCACTGAATAGATACCCAGCTTGGCATTAGGTCTGCCATGCCTAGAAAGCGGAACACAAAGGAGGGCTCACACTCTGACCAGTGGGTGATGTTGGTACAAGGTAATCGGAAAATGGCGTTGGCTGGACTGGAAGGTTTTAATCAGTTGCTAGCACTCTCTCCTCAGAGCCTGGTCCTGAGTTCAAGTCCCACCCCAGAGATTTGGACACAAAATCCTGAGGGAGTGCTGTGTTTTCGGGGCCCTGCCACCCTCTCCGGGGAACACAAATAAAACCTTAGAGTCACAGCAGGCACACATTCTCCCTGGTGTCCTGTCCAATCTCTCTTAAAAATAGGTTTGCTGGTACTTACCTCATTGCTGTTTATGGGATCTTGCTGTGTGGCAATTGGCTGCCAAGTTCTCTTCACTGCAATGGTGGCTACATTTCCAAAGGTGCTTCATTAGTCTCAAAGACAGCTAGAGATGGGGAAAGGTCCTGTATAAATGCAAATACTTGCTGTATTTTCAATTAGGAGATTTTTAGGAAATGTGTTGGTTTGGTTTCCTGCCTTGTTTTTTGACATATGTAGTTAAAGGCGCTCCTTGTGCCAAGTCTCTGCAGATTACAGCATGAATTCTGACTGCTTTACATAATATGTACAAACCTAGAGTCTAGAGCAGTGTGAGGATCAGAGGGAGTGAATGCCTGTTTTTCTAGTGGTGAAGGAACTGAATGTACCACCTTGATCCAATATTTTCTGCAAATGACTCTGATCCAGGACATTGAGGAACAGATTCATTCCTCTGAAACCAGGGAACTTGAAAGTGTGAAATACTTAACATTTTCATATTAAGCTCTTGTAAATACCAAAAAGCTGCTAAGTGTGTTAATATATCTGAAGGACATTGATTTTTATGCATTATAATACAGTCCCTAAATGAAGATATTGAAATATATTGTTTCTCCTAAATATAGATTTGTTCATCAATTATAATATATTTCAAAATTACAGAAATTAAACATAACTGCAACATGGGAAATTTATATAAATATAAAAAAAAAATGTATGTAGCAGAACAGGAATGTCTAAACAATAGTGTAGCCACTGGCAAAATCAAGTTGAACAGTAGTATTGCTGCAAAGTATTGTATAAACTGAAAGTTTCGTGATGAGTAAAGGCCTTCATCAGTTCCTGTGCAAGCATGTGCCTATGGCAGACTCCTTATCAGATGATGTTTTGCACTGTAAGCCTCTCCTAGTATGCTGACACACAAAGTTTGATCTGGAATTGCAAAGTCATGCAGTTTACATTAGGTATTGGATGTGATTTTCAGAGGAAGTGAATATTTATTTAGTTTAATTCATTCTTGGGAGGGCTGGAATTTATTGTCCATCCTTTAATTGCTCTTGAAGAGGTGGTAGACCATCTTCATTTGCTTTTTGGTAGCAATTTAATACATTAGCTTGCTTGGGAAGTTGATACCACATTGCCAATATTGCTGCAGTCGTATACATCGATTGTAGTTTTTATGTATATTTTACACAATGGTTTAAAACCAGTTTTGAGGAGCAGCTGGCTGTTGTCAATTCTGAGCTGTTCTCGTTTCCAAATTGGATTAATTCCAGAGTAGTAAATTGAACATTTTTTGAGGAAGTAACCAAGAAGATTGATAAGGGCAGACTGGTAGACGTTGTTTACTTGGACTTAAGTAAAACATTAGATAAGGTTCCGCATGGCAGACTAATGAGTAAAGTTACATCACATGGGATTCAGGATGAGCTTGCCAATTGGATACAAACTTTGCTTAATGACAGAGACAGACAGTGATGGTGCAAGGTTATTTTTCAGACTGGAGGCCTGTGACCAGCGGTGTTCCGTAGGGATTGGTGCTGGCTCCAGTTTTGCTTACTGTTTATATAAATGAGAATATAGATGAGAATATAGAAAGCATGGTTAGTAAGTTTGCAGATGATGCCAAAATTGGTGGTATAGTGGACAGCGAAGAACGTTATCTAAGATTACAAAGAGATCTTGACCAGTTCGGTGAATGGGCTGAAGAGTAGCCGATGGAGTTTAATTTGGATAATTGTGAAATATTGCATTTTTGTAAAAGAAACAAGGGCAGAACTTATGCAATTAAAAGTAGGGCCTTGGGGTATTGTTGTAGAATGGAGAGACCAGGGATTTCAGGGATATAATTCTTTGAAATTTGAGTTACATATAGATAGGGTGGTTAAGAAGGCATTTAGCATGCTTGCCTTCATTGCTCAGACCTTTGAATATAGGTGTTGGGACGCTATGTTAGGATTGTACATGATATTGGTTGGACCTTTTCTGGAGTACTGAGTCCAGCATTGGTCGTCCTGTTATAGGAAGGAAATTATTAAGCTGAAGATCATTCAGAAAAGATTTACTAGAAGTCACCAGGAATGGAGAATTTGAGTTATAAGGAGAGGTTGGATAGGCTGGGACTTTTTTCACTGGAGCGTAGGAGGTTGAAGGGTAACCTTTATAGATAGAAGTTTGTAAAATCATGAGAGGTATAGATAAGGTGAATGGCAGGTGTCTTTCCCTAGGGTGGGGGATTCAAAAAAGACATGAGGGGCAATTTTTTTTACAGTGTGGTTCATGTGTGGAGTGAACTTCTAGAGGAAGTGGTGGATGCGGGTACAGTTATGATGTTTAAAGGACATTTAGATAGGTACATAAATAAGAAATGTTTGGAGGGATAAGGGCCAAGCACAGGCACAAGCAGTTGGCATAGACTGGTTGGACTGAAGGATCTGTTTCTGTGCTGTGTAACTCTATGAATCACTCAGTATGTCTTCAGCAGGGATGCTTCATTGTTCTCTGATAACGGTGCAGATTGTATTTTGATTTCGTTGCTCCTGTCTTGCTCTACAGGAAGCAACTGGCACTGTTCTAATTTTCAAAAATTCGCATGGAGAGAGAGTGCTGTCATTTTGCCAGAATGGAGTCTCTATTCTGGGTTAGCCGAGAATTCTGTTAACAACAGGTGCCTCCTGCTCTTGTGCGTCAGTTGAAGACGTTTCCGGTGAGGTTGCAAAATAATAGTTCTCCACAGTCTGTAAGAACACACAAACCTGGCACTGTCTCCCATTAGGAGACCTATAATATGCCACACTTGGGAGTTCTTCCAGTGCTTCATTCTGTTTGCCCTGAGTGAAGTTGAGCTGTGCATGCCAGCAGGGTCACAGGTTTGATCTGTCATCTTTGGTTGGCCAGTTCAGGTTTAGATGCCAGTATGAGGTGACTGTCCCTGGATCCTTGTCCACATTTTTCCACTTTTGAATCTCTGCATGGGAATCTGGTGAAGATGGAATTGATCTTAACTGGAATGACCTTTGTGGCAGGTTGTCCTCTGACACGTTGAGACTGTCACATGAACACTGTCACTGATCCCAGATAGAGGCTGGGAAACTGTGTTTCTCAACATGTCCTTGTGATTTGTGGTGTTCTGTCTAATCATAAATCTCTATTCTGCTGTTCAGCGTGGTTGAGGATAACTGTGTATGATTTGAGATTTTAAATTAACATCTGACATTACAGTATCTTCCCTTACAGTTACCACCTTTTCATTTGTTTGTAGTCTGGTGGGTTCATCTTTAAGACATGACATATATGTCAACATGAAACCAGCTGTTTGCTGGCTTTTTGCTCTGTTCATGCAAGTGTCGAACTCAAGGAAAAACTCAAACATTTCTCATTGTTAGAATGCTGTTGAATACTATGGTATTCAAACCGTAGCTTTCTATTGCCAGGGAATCACAGACCCAGACATCACGGGAGAGCACAGGATCCAAAATTGGCTCAGTGACAGGAGACAGAGGTGGTGGTAGAAGGCTATTTGTGTGAAGGGAGTTTGATGTGCAGTGACATTCTGCAGGGATCACTACAGGTCTGTTATTGTTTGTGATATTCATAAATGATGTAGATGAGAATGTAGGATAAGTAAGTTTACGAATGACACAAAGATTGGCTGGAAAGTTGACAGTGAGGAGGAATTATATTACAGGAAGATATATAACAGATTGGGCAGATCAGTAGCAGATGGAGTTCACACCTGATCGGCGTGATGTGGAAGAGGGAACCAGACAAAGGAGTACTTATGAATGGCAAGACATTAGGAAGTTTAGGGGGGACTTGGAGTTTTGGCCACAAATGTCTGAAGGTGGTAGGACAGGTTAATAGTGTAGTTCAGAAGGCATACAGCGCACTTGCCTTTATCAGTCATGGCATAGATTATAAGAGCAGGAAGGTCATGTTGGAGTTGTACAGAACTCTGGTTAGGCCACAGCTGGAGTACTGTGTGTGTTTTCGATCAGCACACTGTAGGAAGGATTTGATTGCACTGGTGGGGGTGCAGAGGAGCTTCACCAGGATGTTGCCTGGGATGGAACATTTTTGCGTTGAAAAGAGCCTGGGTAAGCTTGGGTTGCTTTCCTTGGAGCAGAGAAGGTCGAAGGGGGACCTGATACATGTATAAGATTACAACGAGCGGGCGAATAGAAAGCAGCTGTTCCTCTTAGTTGAATGGTAAGTAACAAAGGGGCATAATTATAAATTGAAGAGCAGGAGGTTTGGAGGGGATTTTAGGAGAAGAAATTTCACCCAGAGGGTGGTATGAATCTGGAATGTACTGCCTGGGAATGAAATTGAGGCAGGAAAGCTCACAACATTTAAGAAGTACTTAGTTGAGCATTTAACATATCATAACATTCAAGGCAATGGACCTAGTCTGGGAAAGTGGGACCAGTGTGCGTTGTATATTTTTGATGATACAGACTTGATGGGCTGAAGGGTCTCTTCCGTACTGGATGATTCTACACCTGTCTGACCTATCATGCTTCTGTTTGTTTTTTAAAAAATGGCAATCCAATCAGTATCAGTTTCATTTCCCAGATCTTTTCCTTTGACATGAAGTTTTTTTTTCCCCCATGTACATGTATAATTCCCTTTCGAAACTTGCTATTGAATTTCCTCCCACCATGTTTTCAGGCAGTACGTTCTAGGTCTTAGTAAGTTGCTGTGTAAAAACAATTTCCTCTCATCTTCCCTCTAATCCTTTTGCCATTCTGTGCCCTGTGACTCTCCAATCAGTCAGAGGTTTCTCTATAATTTCTTCTGTCAAACCCACTTGATCATTTTGAATGTCTTTGTTGGATTTCCCCTAAATGTTCACTCATGTATGGAAAACAATTAAAGCTTCCACAGTCTCTGCACAGAACTGATCCCTCATCACTGGTGCCATTCTGGGGAATCTCCTTTGCATTGTTTCATTGCCCAAGACTTGGGATCAAGACTGACAGCAGTGCTTTCTTCTAAAGGTGGCCTTCGCTGTCCAGTGGTTTCTGTGACATCAAAGTTTACTGTGTTAAAGATGCTGTGCAAATACAACTTATTGTGGTGAATTTAGACTGTAATTTGGGGAATTCAGACCAAAGCGAGGCATTTTGCAGGAGGTATATCACACACCTCCTAGAAGCTTTTGTGCACCAGGTAGTTTCCTGTGTGACAGAATTGTTTTGTATTAAGGTGCAGTCCAAACTGCCTTGCAAATCAAGGTGATAATAGAAATCCAATCCTGGACCAGGCCATATCATGGTTTACTCTGTGCAGAAAGTCAGATTGAACATTCTGGCTGGTTTAGCCATGGAGGTCTGATCACTTTTCTGAAGTGAAACCAAAGTGTGAAGACAGTGTGTACAGAAAGCTTTTGACACTTGTTCTGTTTAATTGACTGATTTATATTTGTTTTTGTTTTCTACCCTGATCTCCCTGTTTCAGAGTCTGCTATTGATGTACCAGACAAGGCTGACTGTGGACCTGTTTTTACGAGACTACGTAATCCCAAAACAGGCAAGTGTACAATTTATATGATCAGGAGTCACGTATGATATATGTCAGACGTGCTGGTAATGGTTTATTGGTACAAAGGACGTTGAATCCAGAACTGAAGCAGATGGATGTTAACTTATCTCCTACAAATAAAGAAACCTAGCCAAATGTCGTTCGGTGCTGGACATGTTGGAGCCAGTGTACTGCAGTGCTGTCAGCTACTGACATTTGAACAGTAACTACACTTTAAAACAGTTATTTTCTCCCAAAAGGCTGTGGATGTCTCTTGTAGCTTTCAATCTGAGATTTGCTTTGTTGGTTAAGGGTAAAGAAAGAAATGGAGCCAATTTGAGTAAATGGGATGAGTTGCAGATCAGCGATGATCCAGGTGGTGAGCGGTTGGCATCTGAATGGCCTACTCCTGTTCCTGTTAGGCCATCATTGATCCTGTAGAATTTAGAGCACAATGCAAGTCGTTCAGCTGAACTGGTCCTTAATACTTCCCACTCCTCTTCATGTAACCCTATCAGCATGTCTTTTGATTTCTTTCTCCCACATGTTTACCCAGCTTCCTTTAAATACTTGTATCAACAAGACATATATTTGTGGCATCTTTACCTTCCTGAGTCCTTTGCCTAAAGGTAGGTCCGGCCCCCAGTGATACAACTACCACCATGGCCAGGTTAAGGGGGCAGGTCTTGAATCCAAGAGAGACAGAGATTGAGAAGGAGAGTCCTTCATGGTAACAGTGACTGGAGTGGGAATTGCACCCAGTCTGCATCACCAGCAAACTGTACAGCCAAGTGAGCTAGCTGGCCCCAAATCTACAGGTACAGTTTGGTGATTTGGATAGTGAATCTTATACAGATAGCTGCAGGGAAGGGGAAAGGAATTCTGTAGCATTGAGTCCCTTGATCCTGATCTGCCATTTAGTAAGGTGATGGCTGATCTGTATCCTAACTCAGTCTAGTATAGAAGCAGAAAACTGCAGACGCTGAGAATCTGATCAAAGCACGTCAGCCTGAGATGTTAACCCTGTTTCTCTGGCTCCATATTCCTTAAAAAAACTTTCGTTAGTAAATGTCTATTGATCTCGGGTTTAAAATTATTAATTGAGTTAACGTTTGCTGTTTATTGTAAGGGAGTTCAACACCACAACCAACCTTTGTGTTAAGTGTGATTACTGACTTATCTCCTGAATGGCCTGACTCTGATTTTTACAATCCTGCATTATTCTTTTCTCCTAACCCTGCAAATTTTCCTTTTGCCTGTGGATATCCAATTCCCTTTTTAAAAATTCCTATTGAATTAGCTTCCACTGCCCTTTCAGGCGGTGCACTCTAGAGCATAACAGTTCTCTGCCTGACAAAAATCTCAGTTGGCATTGGAACTAGAGGAGAGTTATCTTAAAACTATGTGGGTTGAATTACTTGTATGTTAAAATTGCTTAGTGCTTTTAATCTCACACATTGTTGTGTATGATTGTAAAATAGACTTATATAATATTAATTATTCCCTCTCTTCTCCAGGCACTGCTGCTTTGTACTTTTTTAATAGTGGTGCTAGTCAAGTATATGAAGTGAAAGCTTTTGATGAAGAGTATCGTTCATGGTTTATTGGTCAGTCTGTTCAGCATGGTGAGTATTCTGATTATTTGAGTATTTTTGATAGCACTCACTGATTTGTCATACTTGATAAACAGTGACATGAAGTACTTGTGAGATGAATTATTACAATTATTTGCAGTGACTGAATGTTTCTTGTAAGACTTCTTCAATTCTGAAGAAGGCTCTTATTAAACTCATGTAACTCTGTTTCTCTTTCCACAGTTGGTGCTAGGCCATCTGAATTTTTCCAGCATTTCATTTTCATTTCAGACTTGCAGCTCAAGAACTTTGCCCTTATTTAAAAATATGCTGACTCTATTTTCCTCTCACTTATCAGCCTCCCTGCTTGCTGCTTCGCTGTGCTACTGCTTCTCGCTGGCCACATGGATTGAGTGGAAAGTGTGAGGCTTTTTCCCAGGGTGAAGGGGTCAATCACTAGGAGACACAGGTTCAAAGTGTGGGTCGGTGGGAGGGAGTGGAGTTTAAAAGAGATGTGTGAGGCAAGTTTTTCACACAAAGGGTGGTGAGTGCCTGGAATGCGCTACCAGAGGAGGTGGTGGAAGCAGGCACAATAGCAGCGTTCAGGAAGCACCTGGATGAATACATGAATAGGAAGGGAATAGAGGGATACAGATCCTGTAAGTGAAGACAGTCTTAGTATGGAAGGGCAAAATGTGTCAGCGCAGGCTTGGAGGGCTGAAGGGCCTGTTCCTGTGCTGTATTGTTCTTTGTTCTGCTTCCCTCACCCAAACCCTTGCTGTGAAAGAGGGTTTAGGAGTAGGGTGCCAAGTGAGAGAGAAAATGAGCAAGAATAACTACATGTGGGAGATTTTGGGGTACTTTGTGGCGAGCAGAATAAGCACTGAGCAGGAGAGAGAGGGAGTGGTGGCGACAGCTCCAAAATGGCACTGTTTGAATCAACTACATTGACCCAGCTCCAAGTGGCATCAAAATGGAAATGCTTTGTGCTTATTCTGACCCCATTCTAGCTGCTGTGTTAAAGTAGAACAATTAAAAACAAGGGCTTACTGTAATGCCTTTCAGGAAGAAAACCTGTCCCTCCCACTGGAGGCCTGTGACCAGAGGTGGTCCTCAGGGATCAGTGTCCACTCTTGTTTGTCATTTATAGAAATGATTTGGACGAGAACTTGGGAGTCATGGTTAATAAGTTTGCGGATGACAACAAAATAGGTGTTGTAGTTGACAGTGAAGAAGGTTACCTAAGATTACAAAAGGATCTTAATCAATTGGATTAATGAGCTGAGGAGTGGCAGATGGAGTTTAATTTGAATAAATGCAAGGTATTGCATTTTGGTAAAACAAGGGCAGGACTTACACAGTTAATGGTTGGGCCCTGGGTAGTGCTGACAAACAGAGAGACCTAGGGGTTCAGATACATAATTCTTTGAAATTTGCATCACAGGTAGACAGGGTGGTTAAGAAGGTGTTTAGCATGCTTCCCTTTATTGCTCAGACCATTGAGTATAGGAGTTGGGCTGTCATGTTGAGGTTGTACACGACGTTGGTGGGGCCACTTTTGTAGTACTGTGTACAATTTTGGTCACCCTGATGTAGGATTGATAATTCTAAATTGGAGAGGGTTCAAAAAAGATTTACCAGGATGTTGTTGGGACTGGAGGGTTTGAGTTATAAGGACAGGCGGGATAGGCTGGGACTTTTTCCCCACTGGGATGTATGAGGTTGAGGGGTAACCATATGGGGGTTTATAAAATCACGAGCAGCGTAGATAAAGTGAATAACAAAGGTCTTTTCCCTAGGGTTCAAAGCTAGAGAGCATATTTTTAAGGTGAGAGGAGAAAGACTTAAAAGGGACATGAGGGGCAACTTTTTCACACAGAGGGTGGTTTGTGTGTGGAATGAACTGCCAGAGGAAATGGTTGATGCAGGTACAGATACAACATTTAAAAGACATTTGGACATGTACATAAAAAGGAAAGGTTTAGAGCGATATTGGCCAAATGCAGGCAAGTAGGACTAGTTTAGTTTGGGAGTCATGGTCGGCACGGATGAGTTGGACTAAAGGGTCTGTTTCCCTGCTGTATGACCATGACTCTGTGATCCCTGTGCCATATTGATATGGTGGACACTTCACTGCCCCCTGAAACAGCTTGTTGTCAGGACAACTAAGGATGGACAATGAATATGAGCTTTGCCAGTGATGCCTAAACCACAAGAATGGATTAAAAGAATTCCACAAACAGCAATAATTTGCTCTCCATGGGACTAATTGAGGGAAAGCTGAGGGCGCCAAGAAATCTTGCCTGTGCTGAAACTCTTAGCATCTGACAGGACAGGCAGTGCCTCTGTTTATTACCTAATCCATGGGGCATTAACTTTGACGGTGATGAACTTCCCCAGCACGTGCTGCAGTCTGAGGAATGGGAGCTTGAAATGGTACCGCTGTTCACTTTATGGGGCAGTGGACTGTCTGCCACTTGCTTGTGTGGGCATGATGGGGTTTTCAGCAGGGTATGCAAAGGAGCAGCTCCCAACCTTCACCCACGCATTCAGCATAACTTTGAGAGTTATTTCTTCAAAAAGGTCTGGCTTTTTTTTTGTCAAAGTTATGATTAGCTGTAGACATGAATACTTGACAAAGTAACTGTACAAGAACTTGCCTTAATTCCTAATCCCATTTTCTTTTTTAAGATGGAAGGCTTCTGTTTGTTACTCCCCTGGATCCATTATTTTTGATACTTCCATACTTTATACAGGCCAATGAGAAGGTGAGTCATATCTTTTCCTGCAGTAGATGCTTATTTTGCATATACTTGAAATGCTGAAATTGCTGATTTAACCTTGGTTTAATATTCCTTTTACCTGTGTTGACTCCTGGTGCCCTTTCTATTGCCAAATGTTTACCACTAACGGCAGTAAAAAGGCAACCCTGCCACATAAAGAGATAGCAAAAACTGCAGATGCTGGAGTCAGAGATAACACAGTGTGGAGCTGGAGGAACACAGCAGGCCAGGCAGCATCGGAGGAGCAGGAAAGTTGACATTTTGGGTCAAGACCCTACTTCAGAAATGAGGAGGGAGAAGGGAGCTCAGAAATAAATAGAGAGAGGAGGGGTGGGGCTGGGAAAGGTAGGTGGGATGGTGATAGGTGAGTGCAGGTAGGGAGTGGTGGGGATTGGTCAGTGAGGTGGGAGGAGCAGATAGGTGGGAGAGAAGATGGACAGGTTGTGTCAGGTCAAGGAGGCGAAGATGAGAGGGAGGGTTGGATATGGGATGAGGCTGGGGATGGCGAGATTTTAAAACTGGTGAATTCCATGTTTAGGCCATTGGGTTATAGGTTCCTGAGGTGGAATATGAGGTGTTGAGCCTCCAGTTTGCGGGTGGTGTCATTGTGACACTGGAAGAGGCCCAGGACGGACATGTTACCCATCGAGTGGGAGGGGGAGTTAAAATGGTTGGCGACCGGAAGGTCATTTGTCACATACAGAGCGCAGATGCTCTACAAAATGATCTCCGAGTCTACGCTTGGTCTCACCGATGTAGAGGCGGATGCAGAAGACCAAGTTGATGGATGTACAGGTGAACCCTTGTCTGATATGAAAGGTTTGTTTTGGTCCTTGAATGGAGGTGAGGGGGCAGGTGTAGCACTTCCTGTGGGTGCAGGGAAAGGTGCAGGGGTGGTGGAGTTAGTGGGAAGTGTGCAGTGGATGAGGGAGTCACTGAGTGAGTGGTCCCTATGAAGGGTAGATCGGGGTGGGGAGAGAAATATCTCTTTGGTTGTGGGTCAGACTGCAGGTGGCGGGGAATGATACACTGGATGCGGAGTTTGGTTGGGTGATATGTAAAGACAAGGGGGAATTCTGACTTTATTTTTGTTGGGGGGAGGGAGTGTGAGGGCAGAAGTGCGGGAAATGCGCTTTGAACTCACTCTACCATTCAATATGACCATGGTTGATCTTGAGTTTTAATTACATTTTCCCGCTTGCTCCCTCGTATCTCTTGATTCCCTGAGGGACTGAAATCCATCTTGCAAACGTTAGGACAGGTGACCAAAAGCTTGATCAAAGAGACACATTTTCAGGGCCATCTTAAAGGAAGAGAGGAATGTTGGGAAGAACGTTGCAGAGGCTAGACAGCTGAAGGCATGCTCGCCAATGATAGGACAAAGGGACTGGGGAAGGCTCAAGGCAGGAATTGGAGGTATCTGGAATTCCCTGAGGTGCGGACCAGAAGGAGTTTGCAGTGGTAGGAGTGTGTGAGACCATGAAGGGATTCAAACAGGAGGAATATAGGAAGAGGAGTCAGCTATTTCATAAGAGAAAGGAACAGAATTACACCACTGAGCCCATCATATCTGCTCTGCCATTCAATTTTGGCTGATATGTTTCTCAACGCATTTTCCTGCTGCCTTCCTTGATCCCTTTACTAATCAAGAACCTATCGAGCTGTCATTTAAATGCACTTCAATGACTTGGCCTCCACAGCCCTCTGCAGCAATAAGTTCCACAGGGTCACCACCCTCTGGCTGAAGAAATTCCCCCTCATCTCAGTTTTAAAGGGTCATCCCTTCACTTTGAGGCTGTGCCATCAGGTTCTAGTCTCTCCTATGATGTGAACATCTTCTCCATGTCCACTGTATCCGGGCCTGACAGTATTCTGTAAGTTTCAGTCAAACCTCTCCTATCTATCTAAACTCTATTTCGTACAGACCCACAGTCCTCAACCACTCCTCATATGACAAGCCCTTCATCCCCAGGATCGTTCTTACAAAACTCCTCCAAGGCCAGCACATCCTTCCTTAAATACTGGGCCCAAAACAGTCAGCCCCTCAAACCTGCTCTGTCATTCATTTTAATTATAACTGATTTTTATCTTAACTATATTTACACAGTCTGGTTTCATACTCCTTAACATCATTGTATAACAAAAATTATCAAAGTCTCTCTCTTAAAGTTTTTAATTGATCCAGTCTTGGCAATTTCTTGGGGATTTGTGAGGCAAGTGTTTTCGCTACCCTTTTCTGTGAGCATGTGCTTCCTGATGCCACCCCAGTTCTTATTTCAAGGATTCAATCACCATAGGTAATAACTTCTCTCCATCGGTTTAGTTGACTCTTTTCCAGTCATATTAAACTCTATAAAATTACCCGCAATCCTTTCAACTTTCAATCTTCCATATTCAGGGGAATACTCAAGAATAAAGCTATTAAAGGCATAAGGGACTAAACGGTGCACTGTGTTCTGTATTTAATTGTTGATAAACCCTAGATAAGAACAGCAAGATTTGAGATTCATCCGAATCTATGGGAAATCATCAGGTATATAATTCGTACCTGCAGCTTCTCCAAAAGTAGCACTGAATATTGATATTGAACTTGGTGTATGGGTCTCCGAACCTTCTCTTTTTTTTTTAAAGCTATTCCAACATCTGCTAGAAGCTATGTGAAGCTGAAATATTGGGGAAAGTGAAAACAATGGTGCTGAAACTTACCCAGAGTACGCATGCCACTCCCAACTGGTGGAAATTAAGTTAGCAGCTGTTAATTTCTTGGGAAATTTGTTGACTTGTTTAATCATTTTGTCACTTATAGTTTTTTTTTTGAAACTCTTCTTTTCCCAGCAAGGAAAGTTTCAGCCAGTGGATCAGGTAATAAAGGATGAAGATTTTCCCAGGTGCAGCAGCATATTGAATTGTGCAAAGGCTTTGCAATCACTCCACCACATCACTGATGAAAAAGGTACCATGTTAGAACTCAGGAACTGCTTGTGAATTCCTAAGTTGTTCTCTTTCTTACCTTAGCTGCCCACTGCGGTTACCTTTTAATTGGGGGTGGTACCATTTTATCCCTAATTCCAACACTTAGCTTAGTTAAAGGTTTATCTCATGGATTGAAATGCAGCAAACTGGATTTGAATTGGCCCTTACTGATCAAAGGTTGATTGTCTGTTTGTGAGAATTTTAAATTTCTCATGCCTTCAGTGCGATTAGTATGCACTGGACTTGAAACACAAACTTTCATATTGATGTAAAATATCGGATGGCAATATCTTGAAGACAGCAGTGTGCGATTCCACCACCACCACCACCCCACCCCCCCCCCCCCCTTCCCCCCCATGTTGAGAGCATGGTTAACAAAACAGACTTTCTGAGACTGTATTAATATGGGCATAGAGTACATGAGCAAGCAAGTTATGTTGTCCTTGTATAAGTTCAGCGCCAACTGGAATATTGTTCCGAGCTCTGCACTTTAGGATGGATGCGAAGGCACTAGAGAGAGCACAGAAGAGGTTTGTGAGAATGGCTCCATGGATGATGAACTTCAATATTTGAAGATAGATTAGAGAAAGTTAGGGCTGTTTTCCTTGGAGAAAAGAAGGATGAGAGGAGATTTGGTAGAGGTATTCAAAATCATGAAGAATTTGGACAGAATAAATAGGGAGAAATTGTTCTTACTTGTGAAAGGATTGAAAACAAGAGGGCACAGTAATTGGGAAACCAAGCAAAAGTGGCATAAGAAAAGTCTCTTTCACAAAGTGAATGGGTAAGGTCTGAAGTAAATCGGCTGAGTATGGTGTGGACAGCTTCAATTGAAGCAGCGAAAACAAAATTGGACTTATCTAAAAAGGAGGTATGTTCTGGGACAAGACAGGAGAATGGCACAAACTGAATTACTCACTTGGAAATACAGTGCAGATATGATGGGCCAAATGGCTTTGTGCAGTAACAGTTCTGAGATTCTGTAATCACAGGGGAGAGATCTATCTGTTGATAGACAATTACTCCAGCCATTTGCAAACACTCTGTGGATGCTGAACACAGACCAGTACTCAACTTGCTCATGTTGGGCCCTGGACAAAATGGAGCAAGCTTTGCCCTGGGAATGTTGATTTTCATCACTGGAAACAGCTTTTTTTCAGTATTTATTTACTTTTCATATTTTTGATTATCTTCTGCTAGTCATGATACCCAATTACCATTTCATTTATGGCTTTTCTTTCTTCAACCACCAGAAATTTGTAATCGGAAGTTTTATAAATACAATCAAGAGAAAACACTTGGGTGGCTAAGGAGAAAGGTAATTTTTTCATTATGTAAGTTAAGTTTCTATAAAAATGGTCACACGCATTACTTTTGACAGGCTTAAGGCTAGAACTATGGATTTTGATTTTTAATTTGTTCACAGATTGTAGATGTTGCTGGCTAAGCCAGCATTCATTGTCCGTCCCTAATTGTCCTGAAATATTGGTGGTGAGCTGCCTTTTTGACCAACTCTAATCCTTGAGGTCTAAATGCACCCAATACACAGTGCTGTAAGTAAGGGGTTTCCAGGATTTTGATCCAGCAATAGTGAAGGGACAGCAATAATTCCAATTCAGGATAGTGAGGTGGCTTGGAGGAGAAGGTGCAGGTAGTGCTGTTCCCTCCGTATCTGCTGCTTCTGTTCTTTCTTGGCTGTGAGGGTCGTGACAGTTTGGAAGGTACTTTGAGAGTTGCTGTTGTACATTATATAGATAGTACACATTGCTGACACTGTGTTGGTGGTGAAAGGATTGAATGTTGAAGGTTTCAATCTGCTTCATTGACACTCCAACTACATTGTCTTGAGTAATGAGACAACAAGGTGCAGGGCTGGATGAACACAGCAGGCCAAGCAGCATCATAGGAGCAGAGAGGCTGACGTTTCAGGCCTAGACCCTTCATCAGAAAAGT